GTAGTAGTAGTAGTAGTGGTAGTGGTAGTGGTAGTGGTAGTGGTAGTGGTAGTAGTAGTAGTAGTAGGTAGTGGTAGTGGTAGTAGTAGTAGTAGTAGTCGTAGTGGTAGTGGCAATGGTAATGGTAGTGGTGGTAGTAGTAGTAGTAGTAGTAGTAGTTAGTAGTAGTAGTAGCCGACGGTCGTTGATCAGCCGGCCGGCCGGCCGGCTGGGCTGTGGATCTTGGCCGGCCGGCCGGCCGGCCGGCTGGACCGTGGATCTTGGCCGGCTTGACCGTGGATCTTGGCCGGCCGGCCGGCCAGCTGGACCGTGGTTGTTGGCCAGCCGGCCGGCCGGCCGGCCGGCTGGCTGGCTGATCGAGAAATAGCGGGCCGCGATAAGCGCGCAATGCTAATGTTGCACAAAAATCTACATGTTGCTTAGAGCCTTTGAGCTGAACGTGATTTTTGAGACTCCCAAAACCAATTGTTTAGCCGCGGTAGGACATTGAGTCATTGAGTTTCCTGAACTAGATTTGCTGAAACATGATTCAAATATATTCAAATATCCAATTATACACAAAGAATTGACAATCCCTTTTGTGTTGCAGTAAGTTTCAGGTCTGTATTCGGGCTTCGGCACTGCAACACATGGATCTCCCAGGAAGCATCTGGTGTCTAGCTTGCTAGTGTGTTCTTCTAAGTCTAAGTCTAAGCGTCTCGACAAGAAACACACTGGACAGCGCCCAGCAGGAGTCGCAGGTCCAAAAGTTTCACTGCCAGGATTCGTGGGACGGGGCACGCGGGAGTCTGCGATGGGCGGAGAGGCATTCCTGCCATCAGATGTTTGCTTCCTTCTTGTATACCAAGGCTCCTGCCTGACTGCTCCAGGATTCAGATCCAGCAATTCTTTGGAAGCAAATTCTGCGGTAAACGCGTTGGTTCTGCACATAGGTCAGCTTTCCTTGAACTTTGGCCTTTGGCTGTAAGAACCGGTTGCCCTCCAGTTGCTGGACAGTTGAGAACAAGCAAAAAAGAACCTTCTTCAGAAGCTCAGCAATCATCTCCGTGGAAAGAGTGTATCTCTAATATATATATATATATATACGGAGTACGATAGTACAAAACATGTATAGATAGAATGGCTTCAAATGGCCTAACTTCCCCCTTCGGTGCTTGGGAGGATTCCCCACCCTATGGCTTGTGCCATCTACTCTCAAAACCTGCTATGCTGGAAGAATATTTCAATGACCTACTCTGAAAGCAAACCGGTCGTGCGAAGGTGTCTGAAAGCAAACCGGTCGTAAGAAAAGGTGGTTCCTGCCAGACCAGGAGGTACGCGCAAGACTTCTTGTCTGGCTGCATGTTTTGTTTACTCGTTGCATTATATTATATCATACAGTAATACAGTGTTTGATAATTACTTAAGAATACAGTAATAGGTTTTACAGTTTTGCACTTCATACTACATAGCACGGCCAAACTTTTGGCCAAGCAAGACATTGAAAAACCACACCACAGCCTCTGACAATTGTAAAACTCTCCCGTGCCCTATGCATTCAAGGACGTTCAGTAGAAATAACATGAAATAAAAGTCATCAGATGTCCAATTTGGGCCGCGCCAAGGCGGCCAAGGGTCTTGGACCAATCTTTACAAATCCTTTTACAATTTCGGTTGCCACCGCGAACTCGGTCTAAACATCCCCGGTCCTATTGACCGGAGGCGAACTCGGTCAGGCGACACAGGCTGAGCGCGAGCTTGAGCCACTTGAAGAATCCAAAGAAGGCACCGGCAAAGATCGTGAAGCCAATGAAGAGCCCAGTGTAGGCATCAATGCAGTTGGAGTCAACACCACAGAAAAGGATCAGCAATGACATCACCAAAGTGGCCTTGGTCGGTTTCTAGTATATAACCTCTACGAAAACCTTCTGGAGTGCACATGCTTCCAGGAGGCACAGCTGGAGGTTTGAAAGGGGCATCCGGTAGCCAGCCAATCTGTGGCATGGCACCCAGGAAGATATTTCGACAGGTTGGATGTCAAACGATGCTGATGCAAATGGAGTGAATCCAATGGGAGCGGGTGGTTACAGTCCTCCGGGACATGCTAGTTTCTGAGGGACATGCGAAAAAAGGGATGCAACAGCACATGATATTGCCTAGACAGGCATTCTCTGTAGTAACGGTTGAAGATTCATCAGGCGGTGCAGCATCTTCGGGATTGATTCCAAAATAGATTGAAAGGACGAAAGAGTCGGTGCATGTGTCCTACGCTTTGTGTTCGGCATCCTATTCTAGTTGCAATGTTTACTTGCCCAAATCTGGGTAGCAAGAATCTGGACAAGGACTCTGTGGGAAGCGTTCTTTCATCAGTTCCTCATGAGTTCCATGCCAAAGGACTGCGAGTTCATGAACCAAGGAGCCGGTTGGTGGAGCTGACCGGGGACGTACTATGCTGACCGGTTTCTGACAAGCTTCTGACTATGTGACGAGCAATCCAGCAGGAGTGTTGAAGTTTTACTTGGGCCCGTGAAGAGCACGTGGCGACTGGCGACTGATGAGTTATCTCGGTGTGATGAAAGTGGAGAGAGTGGAGAGAAGGACTCCGGACATTCCAAATCCAATTCCCACATAACGTGATCCCCACAAATGGCTCTGGTAAACCAACATCGTGTGTATGATCTGTTGGTGTCTGGGGGTCACAAGGTAGTCAAGGGACATCGACCCAAAATCCATATTTTTTCTGGCTTCCACGAGACATGTGTGCC